TTATAAACCATGAAAGCTTTACCTGTTTATCCAAAAAACCTTTGCCATCCGGATCAGCTAAATCCCAGATCTGACAAGCAGATAATTACAGATTATGATTATCCAAGCATCATTTCGCAACAAGTTTTACCCAAACACCAACCTTTCCTAATGTGATGTCAGGCAGGCCTGATTTCTTCAAAAACAAGGCAGCCTCTGTAGGTCCAACCCTCCCGGTGTTTCCCGGGTCCACCTTCAAAAAACACACATAAAGATGATGAAATATAGCCCGACTGATTTATCGTTTTGCAGATTTTATCGGCCGATATGAGCCTGTCGCAGATATATCGTTATCGGCGTATATGCCGCAGATATGCCACTAATATGAATTTTTTTTTTTTACAGAACAGATAACGCAGATAAAATGCTTGTAAATGGTGTAATTACTTAGTTTGTCCAGCAGAGCGCACTCCATTGTTTGCTACTGGCGACCCAGGTCACTGTAGTGACACCAGCCGACCCTTTCACTTCAGTAAGGAGGTCTCTTGTTCAGGCAGCAGCAGACAAGCAGTCAAGCAGTGTCTTCACGACTCAAGAGTCAAGCGTTGTCTTAACGGTAAGATGCTAACTAGTTTGTGAAATACATAACTTACTGTAAAATTAATAAACAATGACCCCATAAGTGTCCCTTTTCAATACAAGTCCAATATAACATTAACCCCGTCCCTTAAATCTGCCATGTCACTCATGCTTATCACATCGGTCTCATCACATTTTCTAAGTCAGCATAGTTTGTCAGTACAGTCAGTAACGCAGCAGATTGAAAAGTTTGTATCTTTCTGCAGTCCAATAGACAATAAATGGTGATTTCGCGCTATGTTGTCACCTAGTTGGTGAGACGCAATGCTATAAAGTAAATAAACAATGTCCCTGACTTTTACTCTCACAATGAGCTTATCATACTCGTTTGCTACATGAGTAGGTCCCTATGATTTCCGCGATGCAGAAAACGTGGACGGAATTGCGGAATCCAGTCATAAAAACGGAGTTTACTGTATAACATGGAATTGGTCATTTTTGATGAATAAAAAACAGGTCAGTACATTTAAATCAAATTGTGATATAGACTAGTGTCTGTGAATATTAAACTGCAAAAAGACTATTTAAATACGAATCCTCATGTTCTGCATGTTCATTTGATTACCAGAAAATACACAACACAGAATTTGTGTTCAGTGCACTGATGTCAAGACTCATTTTGGATAATAAAGTTTATTGTTAAATACTCTTCCTCCATTACATATCTTTGTCACATCATATATCACCACATTTGAGTGATCATTGCAAAAAAATGTGTTTATGTATATATATTATTTTTATGTAAATACTGTATTCTATATACAGTACCAGTCAAAGGTTTTGACACACGAATGTAAAATGTCCAAACTTTTGACTGGTACTGTACTATAATATACACAAAGAATATCGGCCGATATATCAATATCGTTTTTTTAACTCCCTAATATCGGCAGCGGCCCCCAAAAACCCATATCGGTTGGGCTCTAGCTTTTTGTTCCAAAAAAGATTGATATACTATAAAACCGATCATTATGTGTTCGCCAACAGAATTATGGTCTTACCTGTCTGTAAAAGTTCTCATATACAGGGTTCCCACTTGACAGCTAAGAGAGTGAGGAAAAGAAAGAGAAATAATATTACTTAATAATAATTTATTAATAACAATTAGTATTATGATTAGGTAATATAATGCACAGCGCTGTTATTGTTAACTAAAACTGTTAAAAATGGTTAACATTAATTGAAACAAAATAAAATATAAATATTAGATGAAAAAAACTTCTACTTTTTATTTTTAGGTAGTTGCCAAGGCAAGTTTTCTAGTATTTGTTAATTTTGTAAAGTTGGAAGACCAAAATTACTAAAACTAAACTGAAATGAAAATAAATTCAAGCTAAATGTAAGTATAGTGTGTGTGTGTGTGTGTATATATATATATAATATATATAAACTCATAACAAAATTATTAAACATTTAACTACAATTAAAATGAAAACTGAAAATATAAAAGTAAAAGCTAATTTAAAATATGAATAACTAATATAATATTAAATAAATAATACTACACACAACGCAATAATGCAATAAAATAATGCTGTTGATGATATACATAATTTTTTTAATATATTCTGATGTGTTGTGCACATAATTGTGTTTATCATACAATTGAATCCATTACTATTCATAAGGCAGTATAGTCAGGTTACTGAAACTTAATAAATTAAAGCTATATATACATATTTAAGCAACAAAAAATAATATGACAAAACACATAACAATATTATTAAAAATGAACTAGAATTAAAATAAAAACTGAAAATATAATAGTAAAAGCTCATTCAAAATATTAATAACTACTATCATAAATAATACCAAATATAAATAATACTACAATAACAATGACAAATGCAATATTATAAAATACAAATTTACATATAAATAATACTAAACAATGAAATGCAATGTAATATAATAATAATTGACGTAATGAGTTTTTTTGCATTTATTCTAATATGTGTTGTGCATACACCTGTATTTAATATACAATTCAATCTATTACAGTTCATAAGGCAGTACAGTGAGATTACTGATGCTCACTAATTCCCATCGCCGCTAAACTAAACTAGCGGTTCAACATCCGTTATCATATACAGTATGAGAGCTAACATCTATACTATAATGTTGTTCATTACAATTTATCAACTTTTATTATTGTACCATGAACACATTCTGAAATTATGACTTTATACGTAAAGCGCCCTGACAGTTAACGTTAGTTTTTAGCGCTTATGATGTTCTGATATATTGCGGCTAGCTATTTGCATTTGTTAAACTTTGTTTGCTGTATTTCTCATTCATATAAATGGCAGTTATCTTTACATGTTCTTGCTACTGAATGTTTATCGAAAATTTCATTGAAAACGACATTGTTATTTTCGTATTTTAAGACATGCATGCGATTTAAAGCGAGCTAATCAGTTAGCAATCTGAGCCCGATCTACGAGGCCCGGGAGATTTTCGCTTTAAATGTCGATAAAACGACCCGGTAGCGCAAGTAATGGGAACGATTCGTATCTAATTCTTAGATTTATTTCTGCATGATGATGTTTTTCCTCATTATTTCTTTGAAATAAGTGTTTTTAGCTGGTATTACCTGAGTGAGGGTCGCGAGGGCAGCCATATTTTCCCTGTTGCTGCGGAAACGGCGGGTGAAGGAATGAGGGGGGCTGAAACAGATCGGAATGTTCATCCATTCACACAGACACTAATAATAATAATAATAATTATTATTATTATTATTATTATATTAACAATAAATAACAACATCAATAAGAATAATAATAAAAATAAGAATAATACTAACAATAATAATAATAACAACAATAATAATAATAAATGTTTTCTTGGGAACTAACTAAAATAAAATAAGTTTAATCTGGAGTATTAAAATTCAATTTGAAATAAAAATAAATTAACGTTAAATAGACATATTTAAAATAATACTGAAAAAATAAACAATGAAATAAAAATAATACAATAAAATAATAATGAAATAACAAAATCACATAACAAAATTATTGAAACTAGAATTTAAATTAAAAATAAAAATATAAAAGTAACGGTTAATATATAATTAAATATTATACTACTGTACTAAAATAATATTGATAATGCAATATAATAATAATGTACGTAATTAAACATTTGTTTATTCTAATATGTGTTGTGCACATAACACTATTTAAAAAAAAATAATTAAACTGAATACATTTACATTTACATTTAGTCATTTAGCAGACGCTTTTATCCAAAGCGACTTACAAATGAGGACAATGGAAGCAATCAAAATCAACAAGAGTGCGATCATATGCAACTGCATAATAAGTCTCAGTTAGCTTAACGCAGTACACGTAGCAAGGGTTTTTTAAATAATATAATAAATAAAAAGAAAACAGATAGAATAGAAAAAGAATAGAGCAAGCTAGTGTTAGAGGTATTTTTGCTTTTGTTAATTGTATAATAATTTAAAACAAGCAGCAAATGAATAGAGTGCAAGTCTAAAAGGGACAAGTGTAGTTTTTTTTTTTTTTTAAGAATAGAATTAGAATAGAGAGTGCTAGAGTTAGAGGGTCAAATAAAGATGGAAGAGATGTGTTTTTAGCCGATTCTTGAAGATGGCTAAGGACACGCTCGGATTGAGTTGGGCAGGTCATTCCACCAGGAGGGAACATTTAATTTAAAGGTCCGTAAAAGTGATTTTGTGCTTCTTTGGGATGGAACAATAAAGCGACGGTCACTTGCAGAACGCAAGCTTCTAGAGGGCACATAAGTCTGAAGTAATGAATTTAGGTAAAGGGGTGCAGAGCCAGTGGTGGTTTTGTAGGCAAACATTAATGCCTTGAATTTTATGCAAGCAGCTAATTAATCTTTATCATTAACATTAATTAATGTTAATGATTAAGGCGCTTAATCTTAACATTAATCTTCCCTTTCCAACGAAACTATAACAATTCAAATATAAAAGTAAGTATCAGCAAAATCTTTAAAATATCAGCAAATTACTTAATTTTTTCAAGCAACAAATTTGCAATTTTGTGTGCAGAATATTTTATTTTATATTTTAATATTATCCGTTCGTGTTGATCCATGAAATCAGAATAACATTTTATTAAAGGTATTCAAAGCAGTTAGGGTCACAAATATACTATTACTATTGACATTATACTGTTTTTTTATGATAAACAACCTCAAAAAACTTAATCCACGTGTTCAATAGTAAAATAAATTCTCATATTATCGACTCTAGCCATTCAAAAACACTCCGCAAGCGTGTGGGTCCGGTTCCTCTCTTCCGATTGGTCGAGCGCCCCTCGCAACTGGATTCCTATTGGTTGAGTCGCCCTTCTGCAGCGCCCCGCCATTGGAACCTGGAAACAGCGCCACAATTTATTTTCGAGTTGTTGCGTCTGCTGAATGCGTTCGTCTTGTATTTCATTGTTTATTGACAACAACTGGTATTTCTCAATTTTCTGACAAGCCAAACGAGTTTAATTATTAACTCACGGGTCGTTACACGCGGCTTGGCGCGGTTAATACCGCTTGAAGGGCTGGAAGGACAGTTTTAACATTTGTGGTCCGTTTTAACGCTCACACCCAGCAGTGTTTAGATTAAAACACGACGAAGGCATGAGTGAAGCGTTCAAACAGCCTAAAGGTAAGATATTATATATCCTACATCAGTTATAAGTATCTCTGAACCATAAGTTATAGGTTTTTACGTGTTTTTAGTAGTATTGCCACGTTAGCATGTAAGCTAAGCCACCTAACCTGCCAAACTTATATCACAACTGAGTATCTGAGATGTTTTGAAAATGCATTATTCAGTGCTATATCAGATTCATTTCAGCTTTAGTTAATTTTAAAAAGCTTATTTCCACAGGATGAATCGCGTACAAGTGGATTTTAAAGGGTTGCCAGCCCACATCTTGGAGAACAGTGTTAGAGCAGAAACCCTTCAAAACCTCAGGTAACTACATCAGGGTTCGCATGCATTGCACCCAAACCTCTATTTTAAAACTTTTTTTTTGTTGTTGCTGCTGTTCAATGAAAGTAATATTTTTTCACGTTTTTAAGGTCATCTGACAATGTCCTTACTCCACTGACATTCCCAAAGTCTAAAGTCTCTCTCTGGGATCCATCTCCCAGTGGTGATGTTGTCAGTCTGCATTTCTCATATTACAGGTAAGTCCTTGTGTCATCTGTATTTTTGGATGAACCATATTTTTAATAAAAGTGAATGTCACTATCAACGAAAAAAAAAAAGAAAAACGCATTTTTTAAAGCCCTGCAAACCAGCCGATTATATTATTATTATTATTAATTTACTATTATAGTATTCATTAATAATTTTATATTAATTTTTAGTTTTCATTTTAGTTTGAGTAATTCTGTGTGTTTGTCATGTTTATTTTTTATATTTCTATTTAGCTTTAATACATTTTTATTTCAGTTTTAGTAATTTTAGTACTTATGTCACCATCAATGTCATGTGATTACTTTCTGGGGAAAAATAACACAATCTTGATTGATTTCATGTACTAGGGATGATGATGGTGAAATTAATTTTGCATTTAGCCTTATTGCTTCCTATAGTGATGCATATCACTGTGCTTTTATAATTAACATTAAATACATTTTTGGAGCATTTGCTCGCAGCACATTTTCAGTCTTGCAAGTTAATTATTAAAGTAATTTTAGTACTTCAACTTGTTGTGGAGGCAACATTTCTAGTTTTTTGGGGGGTTTTTTAGTTTACAGTTTTCATCTAATATTTTATTTTACTTTAGTTACTTAAAGGCACAATATGTAATTTTCGCCGCTATAGGGCGCGTATTCAGAATAAACAAAGAGACAAAGGTGTAGTATGATGATGCTGTGACTGAGTGTGGAATCATGGGAGTTCATTCATTCCCACAGCCGATGCAATCTGACGGGACTCGGCAAGAAATCATGTTCATGGATGAGCTAATGATTTATTAAGGTAGTAGAATGAAGCAGGGTGAGGCTGAAAGCCGTCGAAGTGAAACGAGGCCGCTGAACGAGCGTGACACACGGCTCGAAAGCAGCTGAGCTTTTATTACGCCACAGTCTACCGCTTCCGCTCCTTCCGGTCGCGCGTATTTGGGGAAAAAAGCAGCGCTGTTTTATCATACTAGATGCATTTGAAAGTTCTGTTATTATGCTACTCTGTGCGGTCGTCACCGCCTATTAAAACGCACAAAATATTAAAGCGTCTTTGGTGTTTCCATGTTTTCTACAAAACAAAACCGAAAATTGAGGGGTTATGACGTCATTGTCAGGTGACACAATGACACTATGGACACGGTCCGTGTCACTAGTTAAAATTGCTTATTTCTCTGGATTTAAACATTCTTCAAAACATTTGGGATAATGTAAGTACACAAGTCAGCAAAATATATTACACTGTTCTAGTGGTTTTTGGATATTTTAATAAAAAAATCTTACATATTGTGCCTTTAAAATTTAAGTTGTTTTAGTTAATAATGACATCTGATCTGAGGATTAAAAAAAAAAAAAAAACTTTCATTTTATGGTTCAATGTCCTCAGTAACATTTGGTGTATTTCAGGAATCCGAGACTGTTACTTGTGGAAAAAGCATTGCGTTTAGCTCACCGGCATGCTAGACAGACAAACAAGCCTCGGTTTTTCTGTTTCCTGCTCGGGACGCTGGCAGTAGACAGTGGTTAGTATTGAGAAGGCTGGTATTTGGACATCCTATAATCATTGTTTGATATTTAAACGTGTTGCGTCTGCATTTTACTAACTAATATTTTCTTTTCCTAGACGAGGAATGTGTGACGATAACCCTAGATCGTTTTGATCCGGGCAGAGAGCAGACGGGATGTCCTGGGAAAGCTCCAACTGCCCTTCTCCCCGGAGACATCCTTGTGCCATGTGTATTTGAAGCACAGCATGCTACTGGCAGCACAGTGCACTCGAGGGAGGATTTGAACATCTCGTTTAAGGTAGTTGATCTGAGAATTACTGACAGCACATGTTTAACAAAGGTTTAACAATAGGGCTCTTTCCTCCTGTTTCTGTGGAAACGTATTGAGGCATAATGGTAATCAAGGTCACCCTGTAACCTGTCGGTAACGGCTGCCCTGATTGTGACACAGTGCTCCTTAGAGACAGGTGATTAAGTGTGTTGCACTGTTCCCATCTGGCGTGGTTTCCTTGGTTTCTTAATTTGCTTTGAACGGTTCTTAATTTAACCATGGATGTGTTATTAATTTAAGACATTTTAATAATTGTATTCATTTTTAAACAGTTCGGGGTCATTACGTTTTTAAGTATTTTTAGTTTTTGAGTAATACTTTTATTCAGCAAGGATGCATAAAATTAGCAGGGCTCATACAAGGTGCTTAAAGTGCATGAAGTACTTGAATTTGACATTTTCAAATTGAAGGCCTGGAAAACCCTTGAAATAGCAATATTCCTGACTTGAAAACTTAAAAAAATGCTTGAATTATTGAAAGACAATGCATATATGAAAGAAGTGTTTAATTTTTTTCAATAAGCACACATCTTCACACAAAATTAATGCTGCACCCTGTCTTATGTAGACCTTGTGGAGCCCCGCCCCTTTTCAGCACTGCGCTTATTGTCTTTTGGTTTGTATTTCCACAGTATTTGTATTTCCACAGTATATGATAACTTTTGTGAACACAATAAGTAAATCCACTTCACCAGCTATCACTCTTCGACACACTGCCATAAGCCCTATTCGGACGTGTTTCTCATTAGAGGTCGACCGATTGATCAGCCGGCCGATTTTGGGCATTTTTTAATTAATCGGCATCGATTGTGCTGCAAATTAGGCCAATTTATATGCAGGCGCATCTGCGGGCAGCTAAGCGTTGTTGCGGAACGCTGGAGAATCTCTCTGGCTGCGTGAGAGACGGAGCAACTCACACTCTGCAGCCGCTTCTTGAACACACACAGCTTCAGCTAATGGTGGCAGGGAAAAACAGACCGTTTCGAAAGCGTAATTACGTTTTACCCTACTAGAATTGATGCCGGAAAGTTATCATATTCATAAGTGCAACAAGTCATTTGCATGTGAAAGTAGAAACACATGCAATTCATACACAAAAAGCATGCTACAGAACTGTTTTGAGAAGGTGCTTAAGTTTTGAGCCATGTATTATTACTCTGAATTAGGCTACTACTACTATTACTATCTTGTACCCTGCAATAATCATTTACTCAAACTCATTTTTATGAGATGAAGGGAGAAAAAGAAAATCGCCCAAAATATCGGCCCAAAAAATCGCCGCCATATAACGGCCATCGGCTGCCCTGATTTCTAAATATCGGCATCGGCCAGAGAAAAACCCATATCGGTCGACCTCTAGTTTATTGTGGCCAGTGCACTCTTAAGCAGTTATGAGCAGCAGGCGGTGTAATATGTGTGAACTCTTTTTTTTTTTTTTGTTATCACTTGGCCATTTGACTTATAGCAGTGTCCATTGTTTCCCCTACATTGAGTTATTTGTGCCTGCAATAATCATTTACTCAAACTCATTTTTATGAGATGAAGGGAGAAAAAGAAAATCGCCCAAAATATCGGCCCAAAAAATCGCCGCCATATAACGGCCATCGGCTGCCCTGATTTCTAAATATCGGCATCGGCCAGTGAAAAACCCATGTCGGTCGACCTCTATTTCTCATGTGGACGTCTGTAAAAATTTGCATGGCATTTCGCTGATAAAACTCTTTCTGGTGGCGATTTATTCATGGTGGAGGAGCGAGTTTAGTGGGAATGCGCACGCTGCTCACACGGTCAGTCGCATGATTGTGTGCTGCTAATAAAATTGCACATGCTTGGAATAATGAGAATAAATTCATAGTTAATGTACAATATCCTATTTATTATTTAATTATTAAATCTGTTTAAAAATAGGAAGATAGTTGCGCTATAGTTGAAATGGTTTTCTGTCTTGCATTTTATCTCAAAATTATGTGTCATATATGTGACCCTGGACCACAAAACCAGTCTTAAGTCGCTGGGGTATATTTGTAGCAATAGCCAAAAATACATTGTATGGGTCAAAATTATAGATTTTTCTTTTATGCCAAAAATCATTAGGATATTAAGTAAAGATGAAGATATTTTGTAAATTTCCTACTGTAAATATATTAAAACTTAATTTTTGATTAGTATTATGCATTGCTAAGAACTTCATTTGGACAACTTTAAAGGCGATTTTCTCAGTATTAAAATTTTTTTGCACCGTCAGATTCCAGATTTTTAAATAGTTGTATCTCGGCCAAATATTGTACTATCCTAACAAACCATACATCAATGAAAATCAAAAAATTGCTAATCTTCAACATGTTTTACACACAGACTGTAAAAAAACATGGACGTAGTGTCGGTGACGTCACTCGTAGGGTTCAGAAGAGCATTTTTGAAGCCTAAAGTGGGCGGAGCCGACCGCCGCCATCTTGGCAGCGCGTCACTCCCGGATAATCGAAAATGGGCAAAAAGGCGGGACGTGGGTGAAGCTGAGGCGCTAGTTGCTGAAACCATACCCGTCTATGGTGACACCAGTGCTGCCGTGCAAAGACAAAACACCATAACTTCGTTTTTGGTCGAGTTTCACACTCTGGAGCAGAGCGGCAATCCACCTGTCACTCAAGTGGCCACGCCCTTAATTATGCAGAACTTTAAGGCTTAATATAATTTAAACGGATGAGTTATAAAAATATTCACCCCCCTCACAGTTGTCATGAAGGGCAAAATTACCTATATAGACCAAAAGCACTTTTTGTACCAGGCTGTAAACATATATTTTTCTGCTGTAAAGTTGGGCATTTTAACATGGGGAGTCTATGGGACTGACTCCCTTTTGGAGCCAGCCTCTAGCGATCAGTCGATGAATTGCAGTTTTAGTCACTTCCGTATTGGCTTCAAGCGAGAGACTGGGAGGTTGCCGCTTGGTTTTACACTAAGCAATACTTTTGGATTGAACTATTTTTAGAGTTTACACAGGGCCTGCACGTTGTGAAAGACACATCTCTCTGTGTGCGTGCTGTACAGAACACAGCGCTTGAGTACTGAATGGAGTTGTCTTTTGTGTCTTGCTTGAATGCTTTAAAATCGCTTTAATTTTTAAGTTAGCATGGCTTAAACACATGCAAATCATAAACTTTCATGATGACGCAGCAGTGGCCCGATCGAGCCAGTGACAAATTCGTCAACTGTCCCGAGTGTCTTTCACACTGGCCCCGGGCCATTGGGCAGTCCTTATTGTCGAGCCTTGCGCTTGTTTCTCTGGAAGTCTATAGAGCCATTTCACAATGCTATATTATTATATTTCATTGTATGTGATTCAGCTTTTATTGTTCAGGTCAATTATATATTCGTGTGGGAAAAGAATCAATCTGAATGAGGAAAGTGATAACTTCATAATATTCTTTCGATGGTTATGGGGATTTCCCGTGACCAGGACAGCGCTTTGATCTCTTTGAAGTGATTCAGATTCAGCTTCAGCTTTGCTCTGAAGCTGCTATGCATGTCAGTGTTATTCTAAGTTAAAATAATTTCCTTGTTTACAAACCTTATTTTAATTTTAGAATGAGTCAGTGTTTTTTAACGATTGGTAAACTAATTCGTTTTTAAAGTCATTCCCTTGCCGCCACCTACTGGCGTAACTATGAATGAATGAATGAGTCATTAATATAGCGCTTTATTGTGTACTGTATTGTTGTACACCCAAAGCGCTTTACAATCATATGGGGGAGTCTCTCCTCAACCACCACCAGTGTGCAGCATCCACCTGGATGATGCGACGGCAGCCACAGGACGCTCACCACACACCAGCTACAGGTGGAGAGGAGAGAGAGTCATAGAGCCAATCAAGTGGTTGGGGATTATTTGGAGGCCATGATAGACAAGGGTCAGGGGGGCAATTTGGCCAGGACACCGGGCTCAACCACCACCAGTGTGCAGCATCCACCTGGATGATGCGACGTCAGCCACAGTTCAACGGCGCCAGTGCGTTCACCACATACCAGCTATAGGTGGAGAGGAGAGAGAGATAGAGCCAATTCAGTAGATGGGGATTATTAGGAGGCCATGATTTACAAGGACCAGTGACGATGTAACCTTCACTGAAGTAGTTGATCAATTTTAGGACTTTATTAATGTTACCAGTATTTAAAGTAGTTGACTTTGCATGCGCTTCACTTTATTTTTGCCATTTTGTTTTATTAGTATATTTTTATTTATCTTTTTTAGAATTTGAAAGATAAGATATTGTTTGATAAGTGACATTTCTGATTTAAGTCCTTGAAAACCAAAAAAGTAGAGCTTAAATTCCTTGAAAGTCCTGGAATTTTAATTTTACAGTATCTGTACGAACCCTGAATTAGTCAAAAATAGTAAAAAAAATCAGTTTCAAGTAAATGCTGATATTTTGAACTTTCTGTTAAAAGAATCCTGAAAAAAAATGTATCATGGTTTCCATGATGATATTAAGCAGCACAATCGTTTTCAGTTATTATGATAATAAGAAATGTTTTTTGAACAGAAACTCAGCATAGTAACATGATTTCTGAAGGATCATGTGACACTGAAGACTGGAGTAATGACTGCTGAAAATTCAGCTGTGCCATCACAGGAATATATTAAATTTTTAAATATTCAAATTGATAAAATTTTAAAAATTGTAAAAAATATTTTACAATGTTACTGTATTTATGATCAAATAAATGCATCCATGGTGAACATAAGAAACTTCTTCAGAAACCCACCCCAAACATTGTATATTTTAAATTATAAATATTAAAAGTAATTTAAATTATATATTTATGTGAATATTAATATTAAATTCATTTTGTAATTTTCATATTTAAATTTGTTTTCTTTTCATTAATGCTTTTTTTAAATTTTTTTTTACTTGAATTAAAACAGACCGAATTAAAACAAATGTTTATTTCATTACAGCATTTTTGTTGACATCTCATTTTAAATTTATGTACGTTGAGATTATATGGTCAACCACTAATGCTTATTTCTGTGTCTCTTTCCAGATGCTTCAACATTGCTGCTGCAGTAAAGAGATTCTGGAGTTGTCCAAACTCCTCACCTTGCGAGCTCGTCTCAGCTGCTCTGAGAACATGGACAGACTCACCTTTGACCTGTCCTGGGCGGCTGTCACTTTGGCCTGCATGCTCGATGCCGTCCCTGTCCGGGCAGTGCCCGTCATCCCAACCGCACTGGCCAGGAACCTCAGCAGCCCTGCAGGTGTGACCCAAAACAGCAGGAAACGTGGGTAAGGAAGCACTTCTGTTTCCTTATATGGCCATGTTTTGTTCTTGAAAGCTTATTGTGTTTTAAAATGTGACTCATTCTGTGTCAGGTTTCTTACCATGGATCAGACCAGGAAACTTCTCCTCATACTTGAATCGGATCCCAAGGCTTACACTCTCCCGCTAGTAGGAATGTAAGTACTTTTATTGTTTAGAAATGGTGACTTTCTTACTGCTTTATTCGGCTGTAGGCAGGTATTATAATTCAGCCCTATTAGTTACATACTTGGAGTCCTGCAAGATGTTCAGAGTAGGTGTGTAACAGTTGTTCTCCTATGGCAGATGGTTGAGTGGTGTTACACACATTTATAATCCCATTGTGTGGGCGTGGTGTCTGAGGTACCTGCACAGCTCCGCCCTCCAAGACAGGTGAGTGTCCCATCCATCTGCTCTTTTGCTCTTGTGGTCCAATAAGTCAGTTAGCTTCATGGCTTAAAGACAAAATGAAATTAAAATGTCTGTATTTTTGTATGTTATTCTGATTAAAAATGTTTTCGTAATCTTTCATGAAATTATAATAATTTTCTCAACATCTGATATAAATTTTCAGATTTTGTAACCATGAAATATTAAATAGATCATTTTAAACAATTATAAAATATCTTATTTAAAATTACATAAAATATTAACCAACGATATTGCATCCCACTTTTCATGATGTAATCAAATGCTGATCCTATTATAGAAAAATAAATGTACTAAATGCATCTTCATTATTTATAAAATTGAATATATTTAATTATTTTTATAGATTTAATAATCTGTTTAGGAAAGCATAGTTTTAATATTATTGCTTGAATTATTTCAGCATGTTTTTGTTAAAGTAAATGTGATCTTTTCCTTGTGTTGCTAGAATCTTTGAAATCTCTGATAATCGAAAATTATTTTATTATTATTATTAAAATAAAAATAAATTCCTGGCTTGGGTTTTCCAGAGTGATGTCGGAGGGAGGTGCTTTCCTGGTGGTTCTGTATTCCCTGACTCACCGGGATCCCGAGTTCTACCAGTGTAAGCCATGTGTCGGACAGCAACAAATGAGTTTTCAGCTGCTCACCAGCACAGAGTCATTCACGCTTTACAAGGTTAGCCTGTCTGTCTTTGTTCTCATCAAATTAAATATGAATATGCAAAGGTCTATAGGAAACATTCCTCTCCTCCTCATGCAACCTGTTCTACTATGTGTTTTATACATTCAAAATTCTTTGTTTTTGTTAAAGAATTCATTATTGTGTGATGAATCAGATTTCAGATTTTTAAGTGTATTTCTAGAGCAATTGTGTTTTCACATTTGATGTGAGCCGTCTTTGGTTTTAGAGTTGTTGCTTAGCTAACATGCTGTACTAAATTGTTTTTAGGGTTGCATTTATTAATTTTTTTCATTAATTTTACTACTTATTTTCCAATACAGAATGTAGAGCCTTCAGAAGGACGTCCTCTACAATTTGAGCTCAGTGCTGAGAACCAAAATCAGGAAACTGTGCTGTTTGAGGAAGTGCTCTCCCAGACTGTTTTAACAGGGTACAGTCTTTTTATTTCTCTAAAAACGTTTTTTTTTTTAATGTGTTGACATTTATGTTTGGCTGTTTACTGTATCTGACCGAATACAATATACCCAAAGCAAGCGGAAATATAACACACTATACCTGCTTTGACCTATTAGGACAACTTTTGCAGCATCTTCAGCTGCTCCACAGAATAAATTGTCTATCAGTGATCATGACTCCGGTGTAGAAGATGAAGACCTCTCTCCTCGGCCGTCTCCAAACCCTCATCCTGTCAGTCAGCAGGTTTGTTAACTCATGGCCTTGCACCCCTGGTCTACCTCTCCATTTCTTGCAGGATAACTTCTTACCCATTAACCTCCATTTAAAATATTTTTCTTCAGACTAGACGTGTTCATCCTTCAGTACCAGAACTCTCTATGGTATTAGATGGCAGCTTTTTGGATGGGAGTGTTGTTAATACACAAGACTCGACTCCTGTTTCTCATAGCCTTTCGAATGTCCAGCGGAGAAGCATTAGCCCTGCCCACCAGGTCCTCTCAGTGTTGAGACCTCCAGAACAGGGTAGCGTCCCTGGACTTCCTCCAATCCGTAGACCACTAACTCCCATCCTCTCTCAGCCGAAAAACAAACTACATCCAAATCCGGCACAACAGACACCACAACCCAATGTGAATCGTAAATCCTTGCCCTCAATGAGAAGATCAAGAGAAGGCTCGTCAGCATCATCTGCATCATCGTCTTCATCCTCTTCCTCAAGGAACGCTGCTTCGCCCAATGGCTCTTTTCATCAACAAAGGCAGTGTTCTTCCCAAGGTTTCCTGACCAAACCCCAGCCGATTTATTCCGGACCCCCAACATCAGCTCACAGCAGTGCCAGAAAGAGTTCAGCAATGCCTAGCCAGACCCCCATTCATCATCCGTCTCAACACAGGCTCTTCCATAGCACCCCAGCTGCCAACCCTTGCAGCTGCTGCACCAACCAACCCAGCCACGTCCCCTTGTATCAAAACAACACCTGGCAAGGGACACCATGCGTCCCCACAGTCAACACCAACAAAGGTTTTGTTGAGCAAGTCCTGTCCTGTCAAACCCAGTGCTGCCAAGTCCAGTCTAGCCAGGTAGCATGCTTAGACACCCCCATGGGTCTCCTTCCTGCTGATGCTTACAGGATGCTTATGGATCAAGAGCGTCAGTTGAAGCTGCTTCAACTCCAGGTTTGTATTAGTAAGGCAAACGTTTTATCGTTGACCTGATATCACATGTTGTTAACGGACTTTCCTTAACAGATTCAGAAACTACTTGAGTCTCAGAGCAAAACACCTCCGGTATCATCTGCAGAACATGACACTCAGCAGGAAAGAGACAATCAGACACCCACATCTCCACCGAAACGAACGAGTGTCAGTGTTGCTGTAGGAACAGGTACTTTGATGGAAGCTTTCATGTTCTTGAATTTGTTACGAGTTCCTTTCACTGTCATGACATTTTCGTTGTTTGTTTTTTAGGGGCTAGCTTGTTTTGGAACACCTCTCAGGAGGCCTCCACACATGAGGCCCCAAATCTGGATTGGCAAACTGAGATAGAGCCAAAGTCTGGAGGTCAAAATGACAGTATAGTCACTTCCAGACTCGGATCCGAAAATGCATGTCATTACACCGAAGAGCGCAGTCCAGGATCTCCTCTACATCCAACATCTCCAAAACCCAAGTAATTAACCCTTTGTTGACCCCTAATGAACCTGCAATGAACCCTAAACCATTTTTAGCGATTGTCAACCTTCATATCTGATTTGTCGAAGAGTGTTACACTTTTGTTTTTTCCAGGCAATGTTTGATATTTTATTTGTCTTTGGCAGCATGTCATCTTTCGGAGCTCATTCGTTTCAGAGTCCAGTGTTGGGAGAGAGTGCTAGCATGTATTATAACTCTCAGTCACAGAGTAACGATCTGTCTGAAAACCGAGAAATTGACAACCCAAGATTTTACCATGAACTACTGGTATGGCCCAATTTTTATGCTTTAGTTATAATTTTCACATATTTAATTAGAAATTGATGCATTGTGAATGTTCAAACCAACTTTGACTCAATACCTGCTGCAGGGTCGGGTGCAAAGTCGTCTACAAGACTCCGCAATTGTGGAAGAAAAGGTAGAGCAAGACCAACAGAGTGTCCCAAACAGACGAAGTCTGTCCCCTGTAGGCCTTCAATCTAAGAAATCACTGACATCTTCCATACCCCAAACTCAAAAAACGAAGCACAGATCCAGTCCTACATATCAGGACCGTGTCTTAAGTGCAACATTAAGACAGCTCCAACAGTTCGGGGTGAACATAAACATAGACTCTGCCCAGGGAAAGACGACACGTGCAACTGTGGAAAGTGCCAGGTAAAGACGTAGTCAATGACGGATCATTTTATCAAAACTATTATTAAAAGTCTTGTTTCTAACATTCTTTTTCTCTTCAGTACCCTTGCCTGCATTAACCCAGAGGCGGTGATTCCAAGACTAGCTCTTTCTGAACCAGTGGGGACCAGCATTTGGGTACCAAGCGGCAGTGTAGACCTTAGCCTTGAGGCCAATGCCATTGCACTTAAGTACTTAAGCGACTCGCAACTGTCAAGACTCTCATTGGGCGGTCAATCCTCAGGTCCATGTCCAGACCCTAGCGCAATGCTCTTGAGAAGACTCGCTGCAGAAAAGAGCAGCGTTGGACTCAGTATACTGTCCCCCAGCAATATGTCTCTAGCTACCTGTAAGTACATGAAGAAATACGGACTGATTGAAGGAGAAAACAGCAGTGAAGACGAGGAAGAGGACACCGTCCTGGTAGACTCAGCTCTCGGGTGTTCTGTACAGCATGAAACGTCCAAGTATGTGAGCGTTAAGCAAGACCGTGAAGACCAGAGTGCTGCGGTTCTCAAAAACATTACAAACAAGCCAGTCGCCAATCTCCACATGTCTCCCATTGACTCTCAAGAGCAGTTAATCCTAGACTTGCGGCCCAAAATGCAGCTGCTTATGTGTGGCGGGACAAACCCAGAGAAGGAGAATGACGCAAAGAAAGGTCTGACTCAACGTAGGTCCTCGCTAACTGAAAACCAGAGGACGCAGGCAGTCACGGAGCCTGAAGGGTCAGTGGGAAATTTTCTGGATCTGAGTAGGTTACGCCAGCTCCCCAAGCTCTTCTAAAATGCATCATGGGGGTTTTCCAGACAGATCCCTTTAACACACCAACAACTCGTCAAGAAATGTCAGTTTGTTTTAAACCCATCCTCGAAGATTTATCTTCCATTGTTCGTTTACATAGTATAACACGATTTTATTTTTAAAAGTGTACAGACTCTTTTCATCGAAAGCTTTTAAGTGTTTTGTTGTCTGTAACTTTTCATCTTGTCACCTTAACGTTATTTCCTTTCATATACAGGCTTAAAAGTTTTTACATGTTTACCTGATGACTCCTTATGTGTCATGTACAGTATGAGTAAAGTGCCTTGTATGAAGTGACTCACTTAAGGCAGTATTGTTTACTAATTTTAACTTTCCAAATTTTGTCTTGTTTGTGCTATTACTTGACTGTTGATTTTTACCTCAAATTGACATGAACAGTTTCAGTGGGAGAATTACTGTTTGAGTTTTTATCCTTTTGTGTTTTGTATGTTCTTTTTAGATGACTTTATGTACATGTATGTGTCCATAATTAAATTGCGTATTCTTTTGTATAACTTTATTTTGTGAGTTTTATCACTGACCATCACATCCTTGTGTTTCTCAAGGATATCTAAACATCTCAAACTTATGTTATCTAATTAGTAGGTAAATGTTTGACTTGCCAAACACACCTGGTGACAAAACCACATAAGTTCACATAATAGTATCTAAGGGCCAGAATTGAGGTAAGTTCTTTTGACTTGGGCTAGAGAGTAACCACCCAGAACACCCTAGCAACAGCATACCAATGTATTAAACATCACTTGGAGTGCCTTAGCAACCGCATTGGAACAAACATGTTGGATTCACGACTTCAACATAAACAAGAGCCATTTTCCTCCAAACTTTTGTGGATGTGAATGTAGACAAAAGCTCAAGACAACACCTCACTTTAGTTTCTCACTCTGCCACCAAATATAAAGAGGCTTATCGCTGATGGGCTGAGATTTAAAACCTACTAAGCTGCTTTTTTGTGTTTAAACAGCATTTTGGACATCCCCAATGCTGTCTAGGTAAGGTTGGAGACTTGACTCCATGTAGGATACGATCTTGATGTGTGTATGATCTCCGGTTGCGCAATCCTGGACTTGTCTCGCTTGAGCTGAGACTCAGGCAGTCAGTCCAAAGAAACTTCCATTACAGCAGCAGGCGAAATTCGCCCTTCTTCTGTGAAGATTGAGCTGAACCAAATATTGTGAGTACATGTTGTACTGCTTATATTATGTAGGTTTATTGTCCTTTTAGATTTAGTTTCTCTTATTTACACACCGTATATAAAGGCTAAAACAATGTGTAAAAATGTCTGTAGTTTAGGAATACAGCAGAATATTTTGAATCACCTTTAAAACGCTTAAATTGACATTTCTGCAGTAAGTATCGTTAAAAATGTGTGTTCGATTGAAACGCCTAAAACTATTACAAATGAGCGTTGTAAGCGTTAACGTTACCTAAGATTCATCAACCGGCGTAGCATAAATGCTAACGCTCACAAGCACATTATTCAATAAGAATACATTTTATTATTGGTTAGTTAAGTTTCTATGTTTTTAAAGGGTTTCAGTTAGCAAAATATTATTACAAACAGCAAGGGATTCGCGGTAGAACTGTTTTAACTTAACAAATGACGTTTAGCCGAGCGCTACAAGCTTTGTTTTGTTAGCACACCGGCTAGCTGTTTAATATTCAAATTTCAAATCGGTTTAAACGGTCCAAATGCGCATTGATATTAGCTCACATTTTATACGACTTCATAATGTTTATATGTAGAAAACATCTTAAGGTGCTAGGTAAGGATACGTAATGTTTATTTTTGTTTTTATTAGTTTTAATCTAGAAATGGCTATTAGTTAACCTGCTGACTAGCGTAACAGTTTGACAATCTGAGCTTTTAAACAAGTAATGTTTCTTCGTTATCGTGTGACATTTGACTAGATAAACGAGTATGTATGAAATAATATATACATAATTGCAGTTTAAAGCGTGTGTTTTATTATTATTTCAGCCATATCCAGCTCTAGTCAAAGGGCTTTGTCTCTTTCTTTCTTTCTTTCCTGTCCTGAAGGGCTTGTTGGTGTTATGCAAACGGTTTACACAGAAATAGGATTTTCTCAAGAAATCTTTGACTAAGAGTTTCTTGGGGATTCATTTGATGATAATGCATTTGATTTGTTTCATTTGGCTGCTAAATCCGATCGGAATGCGATGATGCACACGTGCTTATTGTCTTTTTCTTGGCACAGATTAAATAGGATGTGGTTTATATATTGTTAGATCGCGTTGAGTTTTGTAATTAAACGCTTGATAATTAAGTGTTGCTTAAAATCTCTGTTAACCTGCTTTAGGGGGTTTCCAATAGGCAAAGGGCAAGAGATAAGTCTCAGCATGCTTTGAGCAGAGGTAATTTTTTCCATGACTGCTCTGGCATCTAAAAAAAAATATTCCTCTTTTTGAATTACAAAAGTGAATGTCAGGCATGTAAATGACCTTTATGATACACATTAAATACAATTGCCTTTAAATTAGTCCCATGTAGTTGACAAACAAGTCATGATTACACTGCATCAATTCTTTGTATGGAGATGCTAGGAAATACACATTGACATAGGCTACTGTACTTCCTGGTGTGTGTGTGTGTGTGTGCGCGCGTGTGCATGTATGTATACACACACTTAAAATATATACTTGTATAATTAATTTCAAGTGTATTTTTTATTATTTAATATATTTATTTTATTTATATATATATATACCTGGTACCAATGAAACAATTTATGACATAGAAAGAAAACGTGGGTGTGCCCATGTAAAACGGTGCTTTTGTTAGCTGCCACAAGAGGAAGTACCTTAGTTGCATGGGTGGCTGCTGAAGATAATTTTTTTTTTTTTATGGTTGAAGTTCTCACACTTGCACATGACTTGTGCAGAAATCCTTGCAAAAACTAAACTTGCATTCCTGATGGAGTGAATAAGTGAAGATCTAAATAGTTTTCCGTTTTGATTTTGTGACGCATTCAGAAAGGAAACAGGTGTCCGATTTCGCAACTAGTATCCTATGATTTTGTTTTCAGCTTCCTTTTGTCACCGAAGCATGAGTGTGCAACTCCCGTGCATGTGATGGAAACTGCTCTTTGTTATGGCTCATGTTTCTGTTCCCTATAGGTCAGAATTCCTGCCTTCCTGCTCCTGAAAACACGTTGATTTTGTTTGTCAGATGAGTCAGAGCTTAGGACTCGTAACCTCATTTGAGTTTAAACGCTTCCTTGTTATGTCTCCCGCTGGAGCGGTCGAAGGAATTGCACTTTACTCGTGATTAATCATTTGAAATCCCCTGGGTTGTGTGTTGTGGAGGTGTTGTTTTGGTTATATAATGGCTATTTTGGGCAGCTTTAAGGTACGGTACACAGACTGCGCTGTAATAAATGATGAGTCAGGTTATTGCTGCTGTTCTGGACTTCCCGGCCAGGAGGACTGAATGTTTCATAGAGCTCATGTTGTCTGGCTGAGGGCAAAAGGTTTAAATGTGATGTTGGCCAAAGGATCCTGCTTGAAGTTTTCAAACTTATTTTTCAAGTATTTTTTTATAAGCATGTTTTCACGATTTTAATATCAAAGTTTCCTGGGATTTGATCAAAAATACATTTTCATTACAGACACTGTTACAGTTATTGGGTCTTATTTATGTTATGTTTTAAATTAGTGGAACAAATTTTTGTAAACGGTTCATAAAACCATTTTAAATGTATGTGTTATAAATAAATTGAATTTTTAGTGTGTCATTTTTTTTCATCACATCAATTAATATAAAAAGATTGATGAATTTAGTTTAATTTTTAGTTTGGTCTTTTTAGATTATTTTGTTTTTATTCATCTTGTTCATTATGTTTAGTTTTTTCTTTTTTTAGTTTGTATTTTTTATTTATTTATATATTTTGGATTTTTGTGCTGCTAATGTGATAATGAGAGTTTAAATAGCAGCATTTTCATGTTTAATTATCAAATTTTAAACCTTTTTGGTTATTCTGTATGAAAAAACTCAAATCAATTTGTCTATTTATATTTTATTTTAGGAAGTTTAAGTCATAGCATTATAAACATTATTATAATTAAAACGTTATTTTAGTTTTTTAAAAGGTGTTTGTTAACAATAACAACATTGTTCTGTTTCATAAATGAGGCTCAATTTAGCTACAGTGTTAGAAATTGCAATTTTAATGTTTTATTTGAATAAAGTAATAGGCCAAGACACAATTAATAAGCATTAAAGGGATAGTTCACCCAAAAATGAAAATTTGATGTTTATCTGCTTACCCCCAGGGCATCCAAGATGTAGGTGGCTTTGTTTCTTCAGTAGAACACATATGATGATTTTTAACACAAACCGTTGCAGTCTGTCAGTCATATAATGGAGGTGAATAGGAATCACAGCTTTGAATCTTTTGAGTCAAAAAAAAACACACAAAACCAAATTAAACCCTGTGGCTCGTGACGATACATTGATGTGTAAAGACACGAAACGATCGGTCTGTGCAAGAAACTGAACAGTATTTATATCGTTTTTTTACCTCTGATTCACCGCAATGTCCGAACTGACTG